TTATTATTATTATTATTATTATTATTATTATTATTATTATTATTATTATTATTTAGACTGATGTATTTTCTCTGCTTTCTAACTGACTGCACCCCACCCTCCTTATGCTGGTCTTTGACCGTAATAAAAATTTGATTTGATTTGACGGAGCGAGGCCTTTTCATTTTGCCAAGTTGGGTGTTCCTGATTTTAAAACTTGCTAGGGCTTATGGACTCAACCTTCAAGGCTGAACTACCCTAGAAGCAGATTTTTCTCCCCCCGGAACACTAAAAGTTAGTGTTAGCAGTACGTTAGCAGCAAAAATACCTGTTGTTTCCACAAAATTATTCCAATGATTTTCAGATTGCCCAGTCCAGAAACTCTAGATTTTTGTAGGACCCTCTCTGCCTGATCAGAACAGAGCAGCTCCTTCACGCAACTGTTTAGTGCATTTAACAAAACAAAACATGGTCATTCTTGGCAACGGTGTAGACTGCAGAGACAAATGTATGGAAGACGTCTTTTGCCGCAGATATTCGTTGTGTCTGCAGAATGGCAGGTGGTGAGTGATGAGTCCCAGGGATCGGTATCCCGTGTCTCAGGCTGGGCCCTCTGAGGTTGGAACCTAATGCTGCCTTCGCTTAATTGAGTTTCATGGGCTTGTAGTAAACATACGATGAGATCATAGCGCAGCAGCGCACACCAAGCTCAGTGGAGAAAAGGGGAGACGCAAAGATGATAAACATGACCAGTTTTATTGAAATGTTTGAAAAATCTTGGTTTCCACCTAATTATACTCTCTTCAGAGAGCTAAAAATAAAACGGTTTTTATTTGCCCGATGCAAAGCTCACTGATTTCAGCGGCAGAAATACGCCGGGCCGCTACTAAGATGTCTCTCCTACAACCTGGTTTTTTTTTCCTCCCGGGTAATTAATCTAGGCCAGGAGATAACTTTATCATGACAGGGCAGGGGTGGCACAGCTCGGAGATGTTGGACTCTGAACTTCATGGCCAAACCATGCGGCGTCCTCCCCATCTGTAGATGGTGACCCTTCTGAGGTCACTTGCTTCAAAATGTAATAAGTCCATCCTGGTCCCTGTGAGTCCCCTTCCAGCATCCCACCTTGAGTCAAAGAAAGCTAGATTTTTGTCTCCCCATGTCATTTTTTTCCTATCACTATTCCATATGATTGCAACCTTAACGTTTCTTCAGTGCATGTAAATATCCTCAGTGCCCCAAGGGACGTCTTGCCTCTCGCTTAAGCCCTCTTCCTGTCTCAATCATCACTAAAATTGAAAGTCAGAAGGAGTTGGGTATCACCTTTTCTGACTAACAGATTAATTTAAAAGGCAGAAGCTTCACAAAAGCTTCTGCCTTTTAATAAATTTGTTAGTCAGACGAGGTGCTACCCAACTCCTCATTTTTTGACTAACGCGGTTCTCCTCCTGCAGCATTAGAAATGAAAATATGCTGTCCTGCTAAGAGGTTAGAGCGGTGTTTCTCAACCTCAGCAACTTGAAGATGCGTGGACTTCAACTCCCAGAATTCCCCAGCCAGCATGCTGGGGCGTGAAGTCCACGCATCTTCAAGTTGCTGAGGTTGAGAAACACTGGGTTAGAGGAAGACTTGGGCAGCTGGCGAAGTTCCCTGGGTGGGTTTGAACCACTTACTTTCTCTCAGCCCTGCCTAGCTCACAAGGGTGTTGTTGTGGGGAAAAATGGAGGAAAGGCAGGATGTAAATCTAAGAAATAAATAATATCTTTTGCCTTGAAAAAAAGCAAGTTGGGAGATTGAACAGTGAGGAGCTTAAGCATTTAGTAAATGAAAAATCAAGGAAAGAAAGAAGTGGAAACAGGTTTTTATGTTCTTGTTTTTTCATTTAGTAGCTGCAGCAGATGGCTGTCATTCCCCCCACAGTCCCTGAAATTCATCTGTGAAGGAAAAAGTAGAGCCACCTCCAGTGGAGGTCCTGGGTTTCTCCTGGGCTCCTTGGAGGAGTGGCAAATAAATACATAAGAGTTTTTTTAAAAGATCCATGTTTGAAATAAACCCTCCTTCCTCGTGGTTTGTAGACATCTCCAGTTTGCCTTCTGCGGAGGCCTTGGTGAATCGGGAGGGGTGTCTTTTTGGTCAACTGTGGATCATCTGAACCCACACTGGCTGTCTTGCTGCTTGGAGAGGGTGGCCAAGCAAATAATGATGTATCCGCAGTTCAGGGAAAACGTTATTGAGAGAAGAAAGTGAGGATTTTCTCTGACACTCTCCTGTCTTCTTCTGCATTTTCTCCTCCAGGGTGCTGGGACAGCCATCGGGGAGCTGCCTCCCTACTTCATGGCCCGGGCAGCCCGACTGTCCGGAGCCGAGCCGGATGATGAGGAGTACCAGGAGTTTGAAGAGATGCTAGAGCACGCGGAGGCCGCACAAGTAAGGACATCTGGGGCACAAAATCATGTCAGTGGCTCCTGGCGCACACAGACACACCAGTGGTGTTATGGTACCACTAAAGTTGTTTTATATGAGAGTTAGTGTGAGGCAGTGGTTAAGGCATTGGAGGGTGCCAAAGGGACTTGGGTTCTCAGCCACAGAAGCTCCCTGGGGGTCTTTGGGTCAGTGACCTTCAGTCTGGGGGGACTTTGGGCTGGTGACCTTCAGTCTGGGGGGACTTTGGGCCAGTGACCGTCAACCTGGGGACTTTGGGCCGGTGACCATCAACTTGGGGGACTTCAGGGCAGTGACTGCCAACCGTCAGCCTGGGGGACTTTGGGCCAGTGACTCTCAGCTCCAGGGCTAGGTGGGGTAGTGGGGAAGAGGTGCTGCACTTGGAGTGGAAACTCTGTCCCCCCTCAGCCACAGAGGCTCCCCAGAGAACGTTGGGCCAGTCGATCTGTCTCAGTCCAAAAGCCAGCGAAAGAGCTGGACAAGGAATGGGGAGACCCAGGTACAGGTTCTCCCTTAGCCACAGAAGCTCCCTGGGGGACTTGGGCCAGGGATTCTTTCTTAGCCCAGCCTACGTCACAGGGCTGTTGTTGTGGGGCAAAATAAGAGGAGGAAGGCTGTGGACACCACCTTGAGCTCCTAAAGAAATGCAGGATGTAAATCTAAGAAATAGGAGACCTAGTGTGGTGTAATGGGGAAAATGTTAGAAAATCCATGTTCAAGTCCACCGTGAATCACAGAAGCTCATTGGCTGACTGTGGGCCCATCACTCTCGGCTCTCAACCTCACAGGGTTGTTGTTGGAGGAAAAATGGGAGGAAGGATCACTGTGTTCACCACCCTCAGGACCTGAATAAAAGGTGGGATATAAACCAAATAAGCAAACGAGCCAATAAATACGAGCATCTGTTCAGGATTACTTTCTGAAAGAAAACAAATAGCGGAGACCGTTGAATTTGCTTATCTAGGTCAGGGACAGGGAGAGAAGATCTCTGGGTAAGATGGAGTAAAGGAAGAAGAAGCATTTTTAATAGTGTAACCCTCCTGCCATCTCAGAAATGACGTTTTCCCTCTTCAAAAGGCTACTGAAATCAAGAAGGATTTCAGGGGAGAGAACAGCCATTGATTGGGGTCTACGCGGTGGTGAGCAGAGCTTTTATAAGCTTCCTGTCCCAAGATGCTATTTTGTACCTGCTTCCAGTTAAAACCTTCCCAATTTAAAGACGCCTGATCCTTCCGTATCCAGGTTTCTGTGTTCATCAGGTACATTTTTAAAAATTGGGAATATTCGGGCCTAGGAGTTTTGGGCTTTGAGTGTCCATTTTGTCTTGATTTTTAGAAGGCAGGGTTTTTTTGGAATTAATGTAACCTAGAGGAAGGAAGGAGGAAGGGAACAAGGGACAAAGTAATGGGAGAGGTTAGGAAGCCTTATGGTGGCCTGGCGACTTAATCTTAGCTGCTTCAAGAAACTAGAAACCCTCTGATTTCTGGGTTCCTTAACTTCCACCCTCCAGGAACAACTAAAGTTTTGAGGCCTTTGCAGCAAAAGATCCCCTTTTCAATCCTGACATCTCAAGATCAGCGAGCAGGTAACGGAGAAGACCTTTCTCTGAGGCGCCAAGAACATTGCTGCCAAATGGGGCCCCAGCTCTGAACAGGACAAACTGCCTTACCTAATTTAACATAGTCTTCCTGCCAGCAGTGTATTTCCTTTGTCTCTTTAGAACCAAGCTGGTTTTTTTTAGCAACCTCCCTAAGTTAAGTAGGAACTTGAGAAGGGTTTTGAAAAGCACCTAGCTCGTTCAGAACCTTAGCTTATTAGACTGTGGGTCTGTCTTGTGGTGGAACTGGTAAAATGGGTGGCCAATACATTTAACTAAATATTAATGGCCCTGAGGATCAGAGACTGATAATGGGGTGCATGCTGGAGAACAGGACCCTGAGCTGGGCTGTGTTGGTCTGGTTGCGTACCAATCTCCATGTGTCTTTTTTGAAATGTTCTCGCTTTCCTGCTGCCTCTGGAGAGCTTCGCACCTGCCTGGAAGCTGACCGAGATCTGTGAACCAGAAAGCATTCCCAACCAGCTAAACTAGCAGCCAGCCACGCGCATTAATCCATCAGTGAAGAAAGGTTTGCACGTGCGCAAGCGGGGCTTGCTCCAAGGGAGCCAGAGGTAGCTTGAGAAGCAAGCCTGGCGTGACCACCCATCTTCTGAATTATTCCTCAGCTCAGCTCCCGGGCTGCTGTGCTGTCTGGCCATTGCTCTGTGTGCCTATCGATGACCTACTCTTGGTTTACTCTTTCCCAGTTCTCTCTTGTCTTCTCCCTTTCAAGAAGCACAAATGTTGAAAGGGCTTAAGGCATATCCTAAACTTCAAAGGGACTGGTTGGGAATGATTGCCCAGCAGTTGTTTATCTAGGGAGCCTGGATTGAATCTCTTTTCTTTTCTTTTCTTTTCTTTTCTTTTCTTTTCTTTTCTTTTCTTTTCTTTTCTTTTTTCTTTTCTTTTCTTTTCTTTTCTTTTCT